CCATGTGTTCCAGGGGGTAGACGTGAATTGGGGATCTGAGAAATTGACCGGGCTGAATTGATACAGCTTTGACGAAACATTGACCACACGCGCCTTACCTCCGGCCTTTTCAAGTTGTGGTACAAGAAGGTTGGTAAGCAGGAAGTGGCCGATGTGGTTAGTTGCGAATTGGCTCTCTAGTCCTTCAGGCGTACGAGCCAATTTAGTACCCATGATCCCAGCGTTGTTGATCAAGACGTCAATCTTAGGGGCCAATACTGCCACCGAAGCAGCAGCAGTGCGAACGGAAGAGAATGACTCAAGATCAACCTGAACAAAGTTCGCCCTCGTCGTGGGGCTGATCTTCGAGATCTCCTGGATGACAGGAGAAATCTTCGATTCGGTCCGGCCAAGCAGAAGGATTTTGGATGGTCCAGCTGAGGCAAGAGCCAAGGCAACAGTCGCGCCTAGACCGCCAGTGCTAGCACCGGTGATGACGACTGTTCTGGCTGTTAGAAAACAACTGAAAAGGATATCAAGGATAACTCACAAGTCTTCCCAGCGACGTGTTCAGGGTAAGCAGCGACCACGTCGCTGGCGGTAGTAGAGGAATCACACTTAGACATGATAGTGTGTGTGGTAGAAGATGGCGGATGTGAATAAGATATTGATGGTTGATGGCAAGATCCCATTGTAGAACTGCGAAAAGGCCTCTCATATATGTCTATAGCACAATATGCAAGAATGCATTCTCTCACCGGTCAACAGCAGGCTAAGTTGATTGGTCATCTCGGCGATAGGTCCATCCCGAAGCTTCATCCAAGAAGATTTGTTCCATGTGCTTGTTGGGCAGGAAGGCGAGAGTAATCGGATTCCTAGGAGAAAGAGGCACTAGCTTCGGCTAAATATGGATAGTCTAGATCCGGTTAAGCAGTCAATTGTGCGATCATTGAGAGTTTTTGACCTAAATACATTCGTGACTCCGGTAGAGTTATCGGTCCGACGTCGGCTTAAAACAAAGTGGGACATGACTCAGTACTCGCGAAGACCACGCTCTTCCCACCCCGTTCCGCAGAAGCCTGCGACTTACACCAATACAGAGTTTTTCGAAGCGTGACAGAACTACACACTTACCACCACTGTCTACTTTTAGGAAATTTACATTATCAACAAATGTAAAGCCCCTTCCTAATTGCTAGGACACCCGCTTGGCTGGGACAAATGAGGGGTATCTTGACCTCTAGCACTTTGTTTCCTGCGCGCACGTTAGGAATTCTAAGAAAATCGTGATGTTATATACTAGACTTTTCTATTAACTTATTTCAATACATCTTACTAAGAGTTATACTGTTGTTACTGCTCCCCTTGCGTAAGTTACTGTAGACCTATCTTCTATACATAACAGCGATGCTTTACTATAGTGCTATATAAATGCTTGTAGTGTCTAAAAACCCCTAGATAGTCGCGGTTCCACCTAAGAGACCTTGTGGTAGCGTGGCAAGCTACGTTCAGCCTCGTGGCGCCTGCAATGTCTATATTCATGCAAGGTCGCAGTCGCGATTAGTACCTCGGCC